ACACACACACACACACACACGTCCCCACCACACACACACACACACAAACACACACACACACACACACACACACACAAACACGTCCCCACCACACACACACACACACACACACACACACACACAAACACACACACACACACACAAACACAAACACACACACACACACACGTCCCCACCACACACACACACAAACACACACACACAAACACACACACACACACACACACGTCCCCACCACACACACACACACACACACACACACACACACATACATCCACCCACACACACACACACACACACACACACACACACACACACACACACACACACACACACACACACACACACACACACACACACACACACACACACACACACACACACACACACACACACACACACACACACAAACACACACACACACGTCCCCACCACACACACACACACACACACACACACACACACACACACACACACACACACACATACACACTTATACTTGCTCACTGCCAAAACTAGTCACGTGGGTCTCCCAGGGAGAGGGGAAGAAGACTCAAAAAGGAATCTTGGAAAGATGACTCGCTATTGTATGGCCCAACGTCCGGCACCCCCTGAAATCCCCAAACTATGGGTGGACCTGGAAATGATCCCACTTATGGGTTCATCACACCTCAGTAAGAGGGTGAGGACAAGGTGCAGAAAAATTGAGGATTGACGGCATCGGGGTATCCGTCCCGTGATCCAACTGCAGTTGCCCCTGCTCCCCCCCCCCCCCCCCCCAGTGAAAGTAATACTTAGTATTAGTGTGGGTGGCTAAATCAGAGTGGATCTGATATAAGCTTCACTAGGACCATTGATTACACAAGAGTTAATCCAGCCAGAGGTTTTCCATGGTTAACAGGTATGTATACTTCAAAAAGAAAGTGTATGAACCATGAAACCAACAAAGGTGGCGGGTGCAACATTACACCTTCAAGCAGCCAAGCCTGTTGGCAACAGACCCAACACCATCTGGCAGAAGCGTACCCACCAACCGAACTAGCTGCCACACACATGCACACACACCCCCCCCCCCCCCACACACACACACGAACACACACACACACACACACACACACACACCTGTCCTGTCCAGTAGAGCTACTGCCACAGGGGTCACGTGGGCCCCAGAGTGGCATCAGAGAGGAAGATGGAGCACACAGCCTGATGACGCCGGAGATGGTGGCGCAAACAGACAAACAGAACCGGCGAGAACACACGCATACACGAGGGAACGAACTACACTGCTGGGTAGTCGGGCGGAGACCAGTCCTCCAGCACCGGTGATGACCGCGGCCTTGCGCAGTCCAAAAGCAGCGGGCACACACACACACACACCCTCCCGTACCGAACAGACACGCTTGCTCATGTGCCCACACACACACACAGTCCGGTACATAATGTCAAAGTCGGGCTCAGCACATTTGATCGTCAGGAGATTCGACCTGGGGTTGGCATTACATTTGTACATTATAATAATAACAACTTGGCCGTGATTAGTCAGCCTGATATGAGTTCATGAACAGCAAAAATACACACTCGGGGGAAAAGAGATTTTTATAAGCAGAGCTACTAAGAAAAAAATGCAATGTATTCTCTACAGTGGTTGTACTACGAGAGTGGGGTATAGACATGGAAATTATTTCAATGAATAGAAAAATGAAAATTCAAGTTTGACGACAGTAGTGTCTTCTCTATGTACATTGGATAGGTAGAAAAAAAGAACTGGTCTAGGCTTTGCTGCTGCTGCTGCTGCTGGTCTGTTCTCAAGAGACGAATCAGGAAACTAATCATCTACACACTCACATAATGTACACATACTACTAACACAGTCATCACCATCACCAAAGTCGAGACAGGGTACAGGTAGGGTCACGGACAAGCTGCTCAAGCCGGGACACCAAAATGGCATTCTCAGGACACTGTGTAACCCATAGTGTATGCAACACAGTATGAGACTGAACAGCTCTCACTAACCTTTCCAAACAATCATCATCATACTGGAAACCACAGTCCTGTGCATCCAGCCTACACAGGTTAGGGCATGACTCAACAACTTCACTAACACATGACAGAGGGACACCATGTACACCTACACCTACACCAGTGAATGTGTAGGACACATATATACCATGGTAGGGCACATAGGCTACACTCAGCTTAGAACAAGTAGACAATGCTTTACACACTGATACAACACCATCACTACCTACAGGATTCCCAAACACATTGACATCCACTAGACTGCCTGACAAAGACTGAATGATGGACGACAGTATACTGCCATCGTCACATGCATTCCCGCTAAGATCTAGCGTGCGTACACCCTTGCAGTGCGACAGACCAGCAGCAACGCTTCGCAGACCAGCATTTCCACAGCGAGAGCTAGAGAAATCAATGGTACTGCTATCAAAGCAATAATGTGTGCTGAGAAAGTGCCCAATAGATACACAATCAAAAAGAGATAGGCTTACAAAGGAAAAGCTAATGCCTTGGTGAAACACTTGTGAAAAGAATGAACAATGACCATCACAGGACGCACCTTGATACTGGCAGTGTTCATGATGAGCCACCAGAAGATGAACCAGATAGCGCCGTTCCTCGGTCGACTCCGCTGGACAAACTGCAGGCATAGCAGTAGCAGTAGCGACCTCGGTGGATGACGGGTCCGGTGTCTTGGTACTCGGACGCATCATACGCTCGCATTGCCATGCCGCGACGGGGTTGACGTTGCGCACAGCAGCGAGGAATACTTCCGTGTTGGGATCCACTGCCTCCTTCTTCCACACGTCGATGAGAGTTGACAGAAATAGTTCATTCGTCAACTCTCTCCCCCGTGGCAAGGCGCTCTCGACACGTTGGCAGCCGTTGCCCTCACCGCAAGTCTCGTCCAGCAGCTTGTAGGCCAGTTCTTTCATTTTCTCATACGTTAGCGTTGCACGAAGCGTGGACTGCATCATTTCAAGACCCGGACGTGCAGACCTGCGATGGGAGTAGCTGACAATGTCAGCCACGAGACGAGAGTTGGCAGTGTCCGATGTCGACGATGTACGCTTCTCACAGATTAGCCGCCAGAGATGCTCTATGACGACGAACGAGGGTTTGCGCGGTAATAGTGTAATGACGAAGCGCCAGAACATTGTCATGTGACCACTGTAATGACCGACTCTCTTCACCAGCCATGCCGCGTCATGCTCGTCCTTCAGCACTTCGCGTGACAGATACCATGCCGACATGAACTCCTGGAGGGACAGGTGAGCGAAGCGGTACTGTCGGTTCTCAGTCGAGCTGCCGTCTTTGTAAGCAATTAGGAGTCCAAGCTGAAGAGCGGCATCACTTAGACCGGCGCTTTTCACTTCCGACTCGCTGAACACGGCCTTTTGCTCCGACAACATTGCAAGTGCGAAGCGGGAGACCTCGTACAGCAACTCCATCTCCCGTGCATCCGTCCTGGCAAACGACTTGTGCAATTTGCCTGCATTCCGCTCCAAGACACGTAGAAGTAGCGACTCGTACAATGCTGTGCTCGATTTCGCCAAGCCACATCCGCTGTGGTACAGCTCACATGCCAGAGCAGCAAATAATGGAGTTCCCATCAATGCTAGCATGTCCGGCTGTGCATGCAGCTTCTCCAGCATCTCCTCCGCTTGTTTTCCGCCCACCACTTTTCTCACGTACGTCTTCACGTTCTCTTGTGAGAATCCGATAACCTCCAGTTGTTGATGGTACTTTCCACATTGGCTTAACTTGTACGCATCGGCGCATGGTCGAGATGTGACCACCACATGCATATCAACACTGCGTTCCCTCAACAGCATGTCTTGCATGTACGGGCTACATTTCTCCAGGCTGCATTCGTCCATGCCGTCAAGCACAACACAGAGACGTGACGGATGACGGCGAAAGTAGCGAGCTATCTCCTCCAGCTCATCTTGTTCCATGTCCAACCTGTCGAATCGAGCAGCCAGCAACTCACACAGGCTAGTTGCAGATCGCACCTCAGCACGTCGTAACTCAACGGCCAAGACAAGATCAATCTTCTCCTTCAACAGCGAATCTATAGCCCACAGGTATTCCAGCATGAGAAGGAAGATTGTAGATTTGCCACTGCCCGCACTGCCAAACGCAAGCACGTTATTCTTTTTCACTCCAATGGACACGTTGCTAGCGGCACGAGACAGAAGTCCACATTCGGAATCAACTACTCCGCTGGCACTTGCTTGGTCCTTTGCACTATCGCTACCTGTGTCAGAGAAGATCTCGCTAAGCTCAATCCCACGTGTCTTTTCGGACTTTCCATCCTGAGCTGCTCTGATAGCATTTAGCTGGCGTGCTCTCTCAGTTTCGGAGGAAAAGAACGACTCGCTCTTGAAAAGTGTTTCTACTTCATCCTTCGTCAGCAGAGTAAGATTGACAAAGAGCTCGCTCAAAGCTATTTCCCTATCTGTTCCTAACCCCCCGCTGATCTGCACACCACGATCCTTGACTGCATCACGCAATCGTGTCTGCGCCTTCAGGAGAGACGCTGGTAATTTGTGATCCTCCGCCATCGTCAGTCCTCAAGGGATTCTGAGTATCGATCGTGTCTTCATCATCTACATAATAATTACAAAAAGAAATCACAATCACTGATCAACTCTTTTTTAAAGTTTTTTTGCACCGAAGCAGAGCGCTCGAGCCATCTGTAATGCTTGTGGCTCAATGTAGCTGAACCATCGGACCTTATTTGTCAGCTTGGATCACGTGATCCATCCAGCTGCCGCGTGCGGCAAACAGCACAAATAGCGCTAACTCTGGCCTGCGAGCGTTTGCTGCGACTACTACTACTAGCGCGCTAGCGCTCGTGACATACACAAACGCGCTAGCCAGAATGCTTTGACTTTGATGGCTTTCAGCTTCTATTTTTTGAAAAGTAGCGCGCTCAGACCAGCTCGCTCACTCGTTTCCTCTTCCATTTTTTAGGGCAATTCAATTGTTTTGTTTGATAGACGAAGCTTAGGGTCTCTTTGGGTTTGCAACCCTTACCCTCCTGGAAAAAATCATAGTTGCTAGACTGCGACACTTCAGACCAGGTACTATTAGAGCCGCTAATGGACGACGAGCTATTTTCCGCTATCCGGAGCTCAAGCATTTGAGCCGCTAAATGGACGAGACTCCTGGGGGAAAGGATGCAGAGAATGAGGAGAAAACACTCGTAGATCTATGGAGCAGGGAGTAGGTATTGTACTACTTCCTGGTATGGAGCACTGAGAAGCGGTAAGTCTTAGGGCAATTCTTAGCCAGTGATTACTTTCTCGCCATAATTATGTTCTCGTTTTTCGTGTCTTCTGTCAGTCCTAATATTCCCTCCTGAGTCCTCCTGCCAGACAGTATACTGCATGTGATAGTCTAATGCCAGTACACTAGCAGTACGACTACACTGTAGGCGAGAGTCCATAAGCCAGAGTGTGCAGCTCTCCATCTATGCAGCATAAACAAATTCCTGACAAATTTCCTTTGCCTTAGGGCTGGGTTCCACTGCCGCTCCGCCGCACATCATCCACGGCATGAAACGTCATCATTACGAGCTGGTGCAGCGAGGCCGCGGTTCATCACCAGCTTTCGCTTCGCTGCTTGATACAAAAAATGCCAGCCGCGGTCACGGCTTGCATTGTTTCCCGCACTTAATTGTTTTATACGGCCAGAACACGAGGATTTTTTTGGATTTCACGCGCGCGCAGGCACGCTAAATGTCATCAAAAAACGTCGAGCACGATCGAGGTACCGCGAATGGCGAGTGTCACTGGAACCGTGCCGCTCTGCTGCATGCAGCCAAGTACCGTGGAGCTGCGGAGCCGCAGTGGAACCCGGCCCTAACCAAACTTATAGCAATTTGAAAATGTTTGACAATTTTTCATAAAAAACTTGACAACATTGTTCTTCTGTAGGGTGCCGCTGGCAACTCCATCAACGAACTCCATCAATGAGCGCAGGGATAAAGTTAAGAAACCCTTCGAGCGAGAACGTGTTTTCAAAAAGGAAGCACAAATATGCCGCGTAACTTTCCCTCTAGTATGGCCCCATCAAAGCCACTCGCTGACTACTTACCAGTAAAATGGGGTTGGACGGTTGTCAGATTAGTTGACATGTTTCAGCCAACACAACCATAAGCAGTTGTCAACTCTCAAGACTAAAAGAGCTTGCGAAGAATGTGAGAAACCTTGGCTATGAAAGCACATGAAGCGTCAGAACAAAATCGTGCAACCTTGGGCCTAGATTACCAGTATCTGCTCCAGAGCCGGGTCAGTGGCCCTGTTTGTGAGTACTTGGACCTTTTGGAAAAAGAACACTGGGTTACCTGCGACCCGGTTGGAAGTCCTGTCGAGTACTATATATTTTTATACTTCGAGGGGTATACCGCCACTGACAGGCTGCATATGCGTGCAGATGCGTGCGGCCAGAGTGCCCAGTGCAAGTACGTTCATACATGTACATGTACAATCATGTACTACATCAGGAAGTCGAAAGTAATTTTACGACTCCCTGACACACAGTAGCCGCACTTAAACGCATCTGGCTCTGGCCCAGTGTTGCAGGAGTTGTGCCAGGTAGACGTGTACCCGGTTGGTGTAAAATCTTAGAGCGGGTACTGAACACCCTACCATATCTGTGTACATATACAGAGTCAGTGTTGTTGCGTCCCACTCACGCGGCACCCTTCTGGTTCATTTCGGCACCAGCACTCTTTGCGTATGCAGAGCTGAGTAGAGTGCAAGTTCGGACCACAAGTACACTGTAGCAGTTAGTTGCGAACCTAACCTGTGCCGTGATGCACGTCACTCGTGTGCATCTACTTTATCCTTGAGTAACCCACCAGGTATATGGTGCACAATAGGGCACAGTAAATAATCAGCATGCATCGCAGTTTTCTGCAACATATTCCTGAAGTCACTTTACACCTCAGAAGAATTGCATCGCTCACTGTTAGTTATTCCCTGGGTCATTATGAATCGTAGAAAACCCGTCATACAATAGGTTCAAGCTAAAGTACCGTATCACCATGGTAATTACCTGAAAATTCGGTGTTTTTTCTGCGTTTTTGTTAAACAAGCAGCAATGTGCAACAGGAATTACCATGGTGATAGAGTAGATGACCGTGTGAAGCGGTGTGAGATGCAGCAAAGGTGAGCCTGTTACTATGAGTCTATGACCTAAACAAACAACTTTGCCGTGGGATGATTCTCCTTGGGCTGCACACTCTGGTTATTGTACTCTTGGTGGCAGCATTCTGGTGCCAGAGATATTTTTTCAGAAAAATAAGCACTAGAGAAATGGAGTAGGAGTAACCTGAATTATTCTATTAGCAGAGCTGCAATGCTTGGGATATGAGTTTATTCCGGTAGCTATGCAAAAGACGCTATTCAGTAGTACTTAAGTAGCATCTGGCGCTAGCCAGGATCCACACCGCTTTAATTCGGTGCGTGTCACGGTGCCTGGTAGGGTGGTTCACGTGGCATGCCATGGTTGGTGCAGTATCCCGTATGTGTCCCGTACCGTAATTCGAGTATAGATGCATCTGGAGCGCTGTACGAGCTAAGATGTCAGGGCAAATATGGGGACATTCACAACATGCAATGTGAATATGCACGTCAGTTTCGTTTTAAGAAGTGGGTTTAGCGGAGTAAGAAAAGGCCCCAGCTTTGGCTGCTGCATGCTAGCCCAGTGGGTGCCAATCTCCTGCCATCGGCCGAGTGCTGATGGAACGGAGTAGAGGAAAAAGGAAGAAGAATATCGCGTTCAAGAATACAATTTCGGTAAGGGATATACCGGTAAGTGGGTAGCTAACTAAAATAATTAGCGGTATGGTTTAGAAATAGTGGTTGCGACTCTGGATGGCAGTCGTGAATCCGTCAAGTGTCAAGTCGACGGAATAGCGCGAGCTCCAGTGTGGGGAGCAAACCCATTCCTAGGTTAGCATCCCCCACCTCACAAGAGAGCAATCGAGTTTTGGATTAAACTGGGAGTGCCGATTTGGGCAACTGGTATGATTACTCTGCTTGGAGCCACTAGATGGCTCGCAGCTGAGCCGGCAAATGACTCCGCTTGGAGCCGTCAAATGACTCCGCTTGGAGCCGTCAAGTGACTCCGCATGGAGCCGCCGAATGACTCTGCATGGAGCCGCCGAATGACCTTGCATGGAGCCGCCGAATGACCCCGCATGGAGCCGCAAATTGACTCCGCATGGAGCCGCCAATGACTCCGCATGGAGCTGCCATTAGGGACCTTTCGCATTTGCTACGAAACTAATGCGAAACGAAAGTTTGATTCGGCTCGTAATCGTTTCGTTGAAAACAGATTTCAGGTTTCGCGAGTCGTCATGCAAATGTGCATGGCAACTACGAATACGGCCGCGGGCGCCGGTAGTTTGGCGTACGGGTTTTTACACGCACACGTGCATGGATCATGGAATTAAGGGAAAACATGTGTACCTTGCAAAACATGTGTACCTATCCAAATAAATGTGTACCTATCCAAATAAATGTGTACCTGACGGATTCGGAGCGTGCCACGAATGAAGAGGCTTCCATTCGTGAAAACGAGTTCTCCGCAGGGACTCTGACGAATCCTCGAACCCAGGTGACGAATCAGCATTCGTTTCGTATCCGTACGCGGGGTGCGAAAGGTCCCTAATGACTCCGCTTGGAGCCGCCAATGACTCCGCATGGAGCCGCCAATGACTCCGCATGGAGCCGCCAATGACTCCGCATGGAGCCGCCAATGACTCTGAGTAGAGCCGCCAAATGCTAAATATATTGGTATGCATAACCAGTTGAGAGCATATATTCCATAAATCGGCACTCCCGGAGCGGATCACAAAGTGCAGCTACCCGTGCAATCTGTAAGCGGTGCAAGCTAGGTAAAGACTGTCAGAACTTGATATCATGGGCTAAGGCCATTGCCGCAGCCACCCGTACTTTGGCTGCAGGTGGCGTCCGAATGTTACTCGGGCAGACATCGCTTTCCACCTTCCCGCCTCTCTGAATATCGAGTCCGGCAGCTGATTCGAAACGAGTGGCCGGTGTACAACGCCAGGCCAAAGCCACAACTGATGAGCAAATTCCTCGCAGTTGCTGTAAATGCCCATCGATTGGCATTCGCAGCTGATGCCGCTAGTTTTCCCAGGTGCTGCGGGCTGCCACCATTGCAAACAACCCTTTGCGATTGCTTCTCTGCTTGATTGACTGTCCATCGCCCTATCCCCGGTCGCAATTGTACGCGCACCGGCCAAGTGCACCACTTGCATCAGTGAATAACAGCAAGCCGGGGGACGGCGTCCACTAAGGGTGTAGGAAGAAGGACCGGCTGTTCTGTTAATCCAGGAGCTCAGGCCATCAGCGAAGATCTTTGAGGCACTCTTTGGAGAGCTTGATCAGGTAATACGGCTGCCGGTACCAGTTGGCAAATGACCACAATCTGCAATTTGCGTCCAGGGGCTATCACTCTTGTAGCAAACGAGAGCTTTCCCAGAAGAGACTCGAGTTGACATTGGGCGGTTGAAGCTGTGTGAAGAGTGGCCCGAAGGAGATCACGAAGCTTGGCAAGTTCGTCCATAGGCATACTGATGTTAGCACGGCGGGTGTCCAGGATGACGCCGATAAACATCAGGACGTGGGCTGGACCCTCCCCTTTTGCTGACGCCAGAGAAAACACCGAGGTATGTAAATGCGCGGCGCCGAGTAGCGAGTTGCTGGCGAGCTAACACAGGTCCAGAGCATGCATTGAGGAAGCACTTTTACTGACACCAGAGAAACACCGAGGTATGTAAACGCGCGGCCCCGAGTAGCGAGTTGCTGGCGAGCTAACACAAGTTCAGAGCATGCATGGCGACAGAAACGTTAGTCGAGGTACTCCCCGTAATGGGATGATGCCAATAACGCCAGGACTTGAGCTGGACCCTCCACTTTTGCTGGGGCCAGAGAAATATCCAAGTATGTACTTGTAAACGCTCGGAGCAGAATAGCGAATTGCTGGCAAGCTAACACAAGTCCAGAGCATGCACTGAGGAAGTAACGTTAGTTGAGGTATTCCCCGTTATGCAACAGGCGTAGGAGTGCGAACTGCTAGCACATAATCCATTCACTGGCGGATGCGGCAGAGTTCCATATAGCTGAACAGGAGCGTAATACAGTCTGAAGGGCAGGGCACTCTCATAAAAGTATTGATCCTGCCAGCGGATCAATAAGGACCAATCCTCCGGGCGGACGGGAATTCGGCAGAATGCACTTTTAACATTGAGCTTAGCAAGATAAACCGGGGCGAGCACAATTGTGGAGGAAATTGTTCGGGAACGCATGTTCCGCAAGTTGCATGCTCGAAAGTCGAAAACAGCAATGACATGCAAGAGACATTGTACAGGATCTTGGAGGGCGCATGACCACGTGACTCGCGCATGCGTGCAGGTCGGGCCAGCTCGCTGGGCTGCCTGCTAACTTGCGTTAGCATGCTAACGCTCATTATGGTTTAGATCGCACTATTGTAATGGTCGCGGTTTGATTTCAAAAGACCATAGAAAGTGTCGTACTATCGGTCGAAAGTTTAGGGGTGTGGTACTAATGGGCTGGGAATGTAAGGATCGGGTAGATTGCAGTGTTTTAATGGGCGTAGTTGTTGTATAAATAGAATGCTGAGATCATTAGAAGAGGACTATGAGGAAGAGCAAAATGACAGGGGTGAGAGTGTTAAAGCTCTGAGCAGACGGCGTCGGCAGGAGTACCTACACAGAGAGTAGAAGAAGGGAGAAGAGAGGTCCCGTCGCCTCGAGAGTCGCTGTGCTTGCGAAAGGCTATGCCAACAGCAAGAAACGACGGAGCAAATATCCCGTCGTTTGGAGACTCACCGCCTTCGTGACAAGACGCGTCGACAGCTAGAGACCGCTGCACAGGCATCCATTCATCAGGAGAAAATACATGCTCTCATGTTCGAACTTGTTCGGTGTGCGGTCGGTAGGGCCATCATCATGTTACGCACCAGCCTGGCTCTATTCCGTTGATGTTCCGTACCATTCTGGCAAAGACTGCTGGCCACATGTTGAAACAGGGGTTGAAAAAATGAAATAAGCTAGTACCATAGCGTAATCTATTATTATATTTACTTTTACTTGGTAGAATGTACCTGTCTGAGAGTTTGAGTTTTGAGTTATGGATCAATGTGCGTTTATGAACTAAAGTTTTGATTGTCATGCACATGTTTTTGTATTACAAAGACGTTTCTATCAGTTCGAATAACACACATGATGACCTAGGCAATTATTAAGCATAGCGAGTGCTCCTGGGCGGTCAAGCCCTCTGTAGCCTTCAAGCCCAAGCGCTCTTTATTCGTGCAATATTGAAATGAAAAACTAAATGCAATAACAACGATGAACAATTTATTTCAGCCAAGTACAAGTGGGGCCTATTGGTATCCTTTATTTCAGCCGAATAAAACTGTTGTTTGTTGCTATCGCATAATGCATGATAACCTAGGCAAAAAAGCATAGTGAGGGCCCTGAGCTTTCAACTGAGCTCTCTCCTTGGAATTTGATAATATGGAGGTGTATGTGCCAATTTTTCACGCAGGATTGCCTGCCACTTGCAGCACTGCATTGCCTTCTGCAACATGGGAAAAGCTGCATGCTCAGGCCCGTAGCAGCTCCATTCTGGTTGGTCCAGCGAGACCTGACTTCCACAACTTTGCGTGCTTTTCTTGTGACGGGCATATAAATGGTACACAGTATGTGTATGTGTGTGTGTCTGTGTGTGTGTGTTGGCGTTCCTTTGGAGCAGCTTGGTGACATCGTCCAAGATCGACAGGGATGGCGGGTCACCTGCCGTGGCGCTGTCGACGCTATTGTCCAGTCCCGCATGGAGCCTGTGGCGAAGCCCCTCATCTGTGGCACTTGTGCACGCAGTTTTCGTCGGCCACAGGATATTGCGAGGCACAAGTGTAACGCTGTTCGTGCGGCCTGCGTGCGCTGAGTATGGCGTTCCGCGCCCGGTGGACAACACGTCTCCTGGTCTGCCCCGTATGTGGCCACATAGCCAGTCATGCCAGTGGAAGAAGGAAGGAAGGAAGGTGTGTGTGTATGTGTGTGTGTATGTATGTGTGTGTGTGTGTGTGTGTGTGTGTGTGTGTGTGTGTGTGTGTGTGTGTGTGTGTGTGTGTGTGTGTGTGCGTGCGTGTGCCCCCACCCCCACCCAAACCAAGTTCATGGTTTCTGGCCCCAACACCTCTAACGACAATCTAGAGCCACTCGCAATTCGAACAATGGAGATTGCCCATGTGCCGTCTTTTCGTTACCTTGGATCCAACATACACAGCAACGGCCGATGTCATGATGATGTCACATCCCGGATCTCTGTCTTCTCTCCTTCTGTCTGCCTGTCTGTCTCTGTGTGTTTGCGTGTGTGTGTGTGTGTGTCTCTCTCTCTCTCTCTCTCTCTCTCTCTCTCTCTCTCTCTCTCTCTCTCTCCCTCTCTCTCTCACTCTCTCTCTCTCTCTCTCTCTCTCTCTCTCTTTCTCTCTCCCCCGCTCTCTCTCTCTCTCTGTCAATATACAGCTCTCACCGTCCAGGAGCGACACTGACTCGCATTGCTATCTGGTGCTCACGAGGTGTTTGTCGCGCTTCAAACGGAGCGTCTCTGTAAGTTTGTATCCCTGGTGATGTTTGGACCTGGAGAGCACTATATAAATGGTGCTCTTCAGGCACACTCTTCCTCAGCCTACTCAAACTCGACTGTTGAGGGTTAATTTTCCCGAAACACTGTGTATTGAGCAGGGAGTGGTCCCTTCTTGCAGGTTTTCCGAGTGGAAGGTTGGATGGACTTCTCGTGTGCTCTGGGTGGCAGCTGTCAGTCAGTCAAGTGTAAAGTCAAGGCGGCGGAATAGCGTGAGCTCCAGTGTGGGGAGCAAACCCTTTCCTAACAATCATCACCGAAGTCGCAACCACTATTTCGTAGGTCTACCCTTGTTAGGAGACAACCCTGGGGTATCAACTTTTGTTGTCCGATAACGCGTACATTTTTCTGCTGCTTTGCATCATCCATATTGTGTCCACCTCAGAACTGATGTTTCCTTGTTATTAGACAGTGTTTTCCACCAGGCCCCTGTACAAGACAACCCATTATCAGACAATGTTTCATCGGTCCCCGATACAAGACAACATGAAACATCAATCGAGCTATCCTCGGCCATCCGCTTTTTCTTGTAATGAGAATTCAAACCTGTGGGACAGCTGAAGGGGACGTTATAACGAATTTGGTCCACAAACGAACTATCTCTTATCCGGACTTGCATGTACGACTGCTAATGATTCATGGGATTTTGGATCGTTGTCTACTAATGAGGTTTGTCTTGCAACCGATGTCATACTAACGAGGGTAGGACTGTAAATTAAATGCTTGAAAGTTGAAACTTCGTTTTTCAGATGAATCAGACTGCAAATAAATAGCATAGCAAAGACCATAGCTATCCCAGGAACACTTGAGTAGCGCCCTCTTTTACCCTCTTCTATGTTGTCCTAATCAGTTTGAGCAGGTATGGATGTTTCCTAGTGCCTTCTATAATTTCTAGGTATATCATTGGTCCTGTTCGGATTGTCCATTACGTTTGCAGCTGTTCAAACTTGTATTGTTGTTTATTATTTTATTGATTTATTTATTCTATTTGCCTCTCCTATCTTCTTGTGTTTTAGCATTCGGCGATTTGATCGCAGGACGAGAGAGGAGCTGATGGACGATCTCTCCAATGTTCCTCTTGGTTCGGAGCAGCGCCGAGTGCTGGCGTTGGGACTTGAGTAAGGATGAGTGTTCCCTCATGTTTACAAGTTATCCGTTTTGTCCAACACTAGCGGTTATAAGCAGAAAACTGTCGAGTCAAAAATGTGCAACAATTAGCACAAAAACTGACTGATGAGATCCTGACATTCAACGACCTGATGCTTAGCTGCTTCACGTTTATGCCCGTTAGTGTTGGACAAAACGGATAACTCATAAACTTTGATATGGTCCTCTTTTTTAATTTTAATCCTTGGCTCTCCATCCGAGTTCCCTCATGTGTTGCTATTATTTTTATTTACTTATTTCTTTTGCCCAGGGTCTACATTCTACATTTATTTTTCTTAGACTAGGGTTAGCTGTCCGTTTACTAGTACTCATCCACACATATGTGCACATAGGGTCTACACAGAACTCTATCAGTAGGTATTTTTGTATAGGAGGTTGTCTATCCTCCGAGATAGCGCTATATACTCCCATTCTGTGTGTTCTCTGGTAGCAATGTCCCTTGGAGACCATACGACCGTACCAGTGTGGTGACCGAGGTCAGGCGTGTCTGCACTCATATCGCCAACTTTGCCTACTGCTACGTGCTCCCGAGTGCTCCATTTGTGTCCTGTACTTTATTTGGGGGGGGGGGAGGGGCAATACCGGTACTTCAGGTGGGGGACATCATGCCCCCAATGAACCTCTCCAGGCGTTGTTCTGGAGTAGACTAACCATAGGCGGAGTGTACACATGCAGCATATAGTATGGGAGTTACATGTAGAACGCGATCAAACTCGGGCATGTATTCAAAGGCAGATGAGTCTAGTGTGATAGTAGTCCTGGACTGATCTCACTATGGTGATATAGGTCGTGCCCAGCACCACAATGCCCAACATTATAAATGACTGGGTTTTTTGCCTGAGGGGCTAGATGAACATGTGGCTAGACTGCGGATGGCAACCAACAGGCTCAAGGCTGCCTTGAGACTTCGTGTGCGCGACCCGAGTCAATTGTTTACTCACCATGACTAGGCATCGCATTGAGCATCGTATGACCACTAATATATGTCACTGTTCTTTGTCGCACCGGGGGCGCATGCCTGTTTCCAGGAGACTTCTCAAAACACATAAGCCCTGTGCCCTGAAGGTTAGGCCTATTGTTAGTCTGAATAGTCCGGGCTACTATTCCGCTAAGTTCATTGACTTTCTACTGAACCCGTATGTACGTGAGGAAAGTACTGTTCTGGCCTGAACTACGGATTTCATCAACTTGGTAGAAGGTTTGCCTGTGCGGGACGACCATTTATTTTTGAGTATAGATGTGACCAGCCTTTACACCAACATCCCGAACGAGCTCGGTCATGTGGCATTGTCGTGGTATATCACACACAGGTGTACAAGGTGGATGCCCCCGGCCCTTCGTACACGATTAACAACAGCAGTGACTTCCTTGATGTCAGTCATTCGGAAGACTAACGAGTTTGTGTATGATAACGATTTGTTTCCGCAGATCCAAGGGACTGCCATGGGTTCGCCTGCAGCAGTGGTCTATGCCGACATTGTTATGCTGTATTTGGAGAATCAGTACATTTTTCCGATCTTAGAGGGGGAGGGTTTAGAGGTTCAGGCTTATAGACGCTTTATCAGTGACATTTTTGTTTCATTGCATGGTTGCGAAGGTCAAGTTCAGCGCGCTTTAGACAGGATTAATAAGTGTTCGACCCTCGAGTTTGCGCATGAACTGGCACATGATGGCATTGATTTCCTGGACACCACAGTTTTCCGTAGTAAGGGATACATGGCAGTGAAGCCTCATTTCAAGGTCACCAATCATTCCCTGTATCTGCTTGCCGGTAGTAACCCCCCCTGTAGTATGGGCAAAGGTGTGATCACTGGGGAGTTGATCCGTATCCGTCGGTCTTTGACCCTTGACCACCACTACGAAGCTGCTGCCGAGCAGCCGAAGCAGGCTTTCCGGGCCCGTGTATACAAGAGCTAGATCTTTCATCTTTCAGACCCGTACACCAGGCATGCAAGGCCGGCACAGCTGAGGCCGCCCCACATTTTTGGCCGTTTTTTTGTTCTTGTTTTTTAGCACACTGCAACAAAGCGCGATGATCGCAGCTCAGCGCAAACGTGGCAAATAATGAAGAATCCTTATCCCCGATCCCCTATCCCCGTCCCCGATCCCCGATCCCCGGGGTTTGTTACAGAATAAAAGAGTCTTTCATTGTAGTTACACTGAAATGGCACGAAATGCCCGGAATTGCTTGCAATTGGCTTCAATTTTTGACATTTTTACCGCGGAGGGCCCCCGGACCCCCTTGCATGGCCGGCCCACCTCCAAAGTCGGTGCGACGGGCCTGGCATGGATGCGCAGGAAAGGTATGTTGATCAGATTGGCATGGGTTTGGGTTATTTCTGTAGTTGTATACAGTGCTCCTCATTGTATTTACCTAGGCCCGGCATGCTTTCCTTCGCCCGTTGGTCTTGAGGTCCAGGTGTAATACCCCTACCATACAGTCCGGTGACCAGCGCGGCCCGGCTAATTGTTGTTACAAGGTGGAACTTCGGCAAGAGGTTGCTTGCTCTTTTGCCTCATGCTCAGTGTCCTCAGGGAGTTTGTATTTTGCTCCTGTTTGGATTTTGCAGTGTTTATGGTGTCCGTAATTGAGTTTTTGTTCTGTGTCCTTTTCTGTGGTGTGTGGTCATTGTTCACACATCTGTATTTGACTTGATTCCTGGTGTGGTGTATCCTTTTCTTTTATCATTGGTGTTCGTCTGGCTGTAGAGTTCTAGCATCCGTAGCTGCCTCAGGGGGTGCCACTTCTCCCATCAGCGTCGACTAGTCCGCCGGTACGTGGTGCTCTATTACGTGCAGTTGTCTGTTCCATCCTGTACGGGCTGTGTCCTGCTGATCACACAGTCTGGGTCTCCATACGTTGCATGTTCTCATTGTGTTGTGTCCTGTGTTCTGAGGTCCTTGACTTGGAGTATGCTCTGCATTGTGTGTGGCTCCTGTCAGTCTTCACTGTAGACTCTATTTTGTGGCTGAGGGGCATTGTTAAGGGAGGGCATCGTCTTTTTTCCTGGTCATCATCGCCGTATGTTCTGTGTTGTTTGCCTTTCCTTTGTGGTTGGCTTCAGTTCTATTTAGCATTGCTGCGTTCCTATGCCACCGTGCCGGTCTGCGTTGGGCCAGTGTCTTGTTATGCTGTGCTACAGTGCCGTGTCTATTCCTGTGAGTGGTCCTAGCACCCCGTCTCGCCAAAGCCTGAGTGTTCACATCAGGTACGTTAGGGGGCTGTGCAGTCCGTCTCTTGTCTCTGTTTTCTTCTGTGGGATAAATGATTGTTTGTGGTTATATCTATGCTTTCCTGGTGGCTGTGATGGCGTTTTCCACCTCTTGTTAGATAAAACAACCTACACCAGTATCAAGTACAGTCATACCTCGCTTATCCGGGCCTCATTGATCCGGACTACACACCATCCGGAAGAAGATTGCTGGCAACCAGTTTACAACATATGTTACACTTACAACATAACCAGACCCGACATAACGGGCATGGTTTTGTGATCAAAAGGGTTCACATAGCATATCAGAAGCCAGAACCAGGGAGTTGCACAAACAAAAGGGGTTTGTTGTATGGTTCGCTTGTTTTACAGAATGCATGGTAACTGTACTGCATGTGGCGCATCTACATGTACATGTACGCACGATGTCACATCTTTTGATATGCCATGTGCATAGTACACTCTAGAGTATGTAATGTTATGTTCGTTTATCCGGTTCCTCGCCTATCCTGTTTTAAAACTAAAACCAAGCTTGGAGTGTATTACGTTCCCTGGGACAGGGGTATATGCAGATTGATCCCTAGGATGAATCCCTTGAACTGTCCATCTATTTATAACCTTGATAGTTGATACCCTCAATCTATTTCTGCAACTTGTCCTCGCCCACTTACTGCAGTGTGGCGAGCCTATACATGCCAGCTTGGAGTATCAATGCGTGTTGAGTGATGGTCTCGTGATGCATGCCGCTAATTATTATGCGCCGAGTGTGGTCTGCAATTTGCTTTTCGCACTACTGCTACTGTTGCCTTCACATGCGCTGCGGTAGATGGTTGGACGCAGTTTGGTTGGTCCTTTCCTGCGGAGCTGATTCCTTTTCAGCAATTGCTCTAGCTTGCGCTGTTTGGGCTCATACTGGGTCTGGCAAGCGGCTTATGTTCTATTGTGATAATGAAGCTGCTCTGCTAGCTTGGCGAAAAGGGTCTTGCCAAAAAAAATTATGGCCATTGCATTCTTCTTACGGCAAAAACGTTAACTTGTTTGCTGGCTAAAGCTGAGTCTGGCAATTACATGTTAAAACTAGCAATGTGCTGTCTGAACAATAAAAAAAATTCAGACAGCACATTGCTGCCCTGCCCTACCCTGGCCCCTGTAGGTAAGAACTGCACAGCACTGACAGCGCCTTTCAACGGCAAGGTGACCGGAACAGGTGTCACGCCCGGCACTGGTCTCTTCTTCGCCTGCAATGCACCCTACGTACTCCGGGGCAGCGTCGTGTGCTTCTGCGACATCTTTGGAACGTGGAGCGGCGTTCCTGCTAAATGCTCAAGTAAGCGGTGCCAATGCGACTGTCCTGTGTTCCTAATACTTCCTAATACCTCCTATCATGTTATCATGCCATCATGCTATCAGGCTGGCAGGCCTAGTATTGCGTTGAATATCTATTTGAATAATATTAAATTGCTACTGCTGTGCAAAGATAAACGAAGCATGCTCTTATAGCAACGTATCATTAACAATTGTCCCTTGACGGATGTGTTCATTTTCTTTCTCTTTTATCTTCAGTCCCTGATATTCCCTGCAAGTACCAATAGTTCAAGTGCGGTGGCAGTGGTGGTTGCATCTCGGCCACCAAGGTCTGCGACGGTGTGTGGTATGACTGCCCGGATGGCTCCGACGAGAGCAACTGCACTAGCACACGCGGCACTGCAGCACCAGGTAAGACAAGCGTATAGAGTGTGAAATAGTTCTGTGACTCCTGCATCGCGGCTGAATGTGCATGCATGTGTCACACACTGTTGACAGGCATGCAGCCCCACTGCATGGCTTGCATGTGTATGAGTGTAAGCTAGGTGTTCTGGATGCAATGGATGGTATTCACACCTCAGCCTGCCAGGCTACAGCCTATGGAGTGTGACATGGGCTGTGTGCTCAGCTGCAAGGCGATTTACAGCTGTGAAAGGTGCTAATGCAGCACCAGTGAAGTGTCAGTTGGTCTGCTACGTATGACACCTTTTTCCCACCAAATCTTTACCAGCTGATGGCATAAAAACTGCTGTCTGTCTCTGGAGAGCTCATTGCAACTCCCTCAGTCTTCAATGATTTCCTTTCCATCTTGGTACCAAAAGACATGCTTCCTCCCTTACTGAACTCGTAAGTGGCCTTTGCTCAGCTGTTAGATGCTGGATGAGAATATCTTTGAAAGACAAATATTTGTGTTCTTTTTCATTTGCTTTCTTGCTTGCTTTCTTGCTTTCTTGTGTGTGTGTGTGTGTGTGTGCGTGCGTCACGGTGTGTGTGTGTGCGTGTGTGTGTGTGTGTGTGTGTGTGTGTGTGTGTGTGTGTGTGTGTGTGTGTGTGTGTGTGTGTGTGTGTGTGTAACTGTCTGACCCAGCAGACTCCACCAAATGGCTACATCCAGGGAGCCAGCATGACCAGCTATGGCAGCCAGATTGCGTTTGGCTGCTACCAGCCATACGTTCTCCAGGGACCTGCCACCCGCACCTGCCAGCTGAGTGGCAAGTGGGATGGTGTACCACCTGTCTGCACATGTAAGTAACGTTACTGATGTCCTTTGCTGTGACTTCTGTGATCTACACTGGGACCATGTACGTGACTTTACTGCTATGTAGTCAGTGCTGCTTGCGCACTGTATGCATTTGTTGTGCTAACCCTAACCTTGACCCTCACCTTTATTTGTGCGTACATGCTGCAAGAAATGTTTATTTTGGCAAGTTCTTTAAGTGTTGTTTCTTCGCCTGCTGAGTATAGGTAAAGATGTAATACTCTACATTTGCGTTGTTACTGATTTTGTTTTGTTGACGTTTGTGTGCACAGTGGCCTCGCCTTACAAGAGTGGCTTCCAGCCATGTCGTGATGGTACCTGCCTGGCCTCATCCAAGTTCTGCAATGGCGTTTTCTTTGAGTGTCCCGACAACACAGACGAATATCAATGCGGCACGACTGGACGTAAGTTGAAGCATGTGATCAAATCGGCATGTATCACAATGAATGCATACTGTGGAGTAAGGACATTACTAGGCACTTCAGGCGATTTTTTCAAAACGAGAAATACGCGTATTTCTTTTTTGTATCCGATTCAGATAGGTTTAGGAAGACTCCACAGAAAATTTGAAGCAAAAAGAATAACTTGGCACAGAGATATAGCCACCCAAAGTCGGAGAATTGAATAACGGCATTTTCAGTATATCGACGGCACCAGCAGCATATCAGAAATTGGCAGAACTTGCTTCAGTGTCTATAGTGGCAAAATACCAGGCTCGCTGGAAGCAGGTCAAAATAATCAGATGAATGCAGAAACAGCATGGTTTGGAAATACTTCGGATTTTTCATCCGTCCGGCAGCTCCGACGAAGATATCGGGTGTGGTCACCATGGCAACTCCATAGCAACAGCATAGCAACTCCATCGCAACAGCATGAAAACAGTGCAGAGAAGCCTTCGGAAAAGCATAAGATGAGACTTTGAGGTAAGATAAAGTAACTACAATAATTCAGTGCCAGAACACATTGTTGCTACATGTACAGTACTGACGTGGTGACGAGTACGGAAGAACAATGAGCCGAAGACTGAGCAAACTAGAATTTACCGGGTATTTGACGGAAAGAAATGACAAACTATTACAATAGAACATCGTCTGTAAATTTTTGGGACTACTGAAACTTCAGCAACTCCAGCATGTGAGATTTTGTGCATAGAGTGTGTGCTGGATTCTTGGTATAATATCACCGTCAATGCTTTTCTTGGTCGCTGGAAGCCACCTGCTGATCAGCTGACGATTTGTTCCGAGCAGGCCGTTTTGATGTCAGCTCTCTTGGTCCAGTCGCCGAAGTATATACTGTCCTACTCGTCGCCTGCAGGAGAGGACGACTGCTCCGATGCGACTCCAATAACACCTGGCATATTTCTTCTTGCGCAGCCATGCGCATGGGCTCCGACGAACAAGGACTATTGCCGGGAGGACGCCTGTCGCGGTTCGCTTCCAATAACACCTCGCATTATTTCTCCTTGCGCAGCAATGCGCAAAGTGTTGGACGAACGAGGACAACTGATTCCGAAAGGAAATACGACGCTGAAGACGATGAGCTACATGGCAAATGCGTGCAACCAAGTGAAATGCCCGAAAAATCCTTGCCGATTTTACTCGAACGATACGTGAGTTCAAAAAATTGCCGCATCATGACGTATGTGGGCTCAAACGAAAGCTGAGTGCCTCAGCTACATGCTGCGCCACACGAGAAGGCCCTGCGCAGCTTCCGTGCAGCTACAGATCGATCTATGCATGCGCCTTTCCTTGGTGCCGCGCATGTACGCGATTCAGCGTTAGCACTTTTTGACAGGTCATGTCACGTGACTGAAGTGCCGACGAATATCAATGCGGCACGACTGGACGTAAGTTGAAGCATGTGATCAAATCGGCATGTATCACAATGAATGCATACTGTGGAGTAAGGACATTACAAGGCCATTGCTTCTCCAGGACACTGGTTTACTTCTTCTTGGATTTCCTTACGTTGTGCTCGCAAATACACACACTGGCAGATGTTAATTGGGGGCATTGGTTTCCTGATGGTGTGTGCCTGTGCCTGCCTGTGCCTGTGTGTGTGTGCCTGTGTGTGTGTGTGCGTGTGCGCCTGTGTGTGTGTGCCTGTGTGTACGTGCCTGTGACGTGTACAGCCGGTGTGTGCACACCGCTAGCTAAACCGACCAACGGCTACTCCCAGGGCACAAACTATTCTGCTGGAGGCAGCGTCGTCTTCGGCTGCAATTCCGGATACAACCTGCAGGGAAGCATTGTGCGCATCTGCCAGATTGACGGTTCCTGGAGTGGGGCAGCTGCCTCATGTAATCGTAAGTTGAATTTCAAGAGAGCCAATATATCTCTCGTGTAGAGAAGCTTCAGGCTTGTAGGAAGGCAGATTCTGGTGGCGTTGATCTTTCCTATTTACAGAGCATGTAATAGTCTGGGTGTTACCTGCCACTTTTCATCATCACAAATGATGATCGTGCTAATCACTGGACCCAGGACCAGTCGGGCATCTCAGCTTGAGTCCTTAGGATATATGTTATACTTGTAGGTGTATGGTTAGGGTGTTTCACCGGGTACCAGAACACTGAGTTGTTGGCATAAGCCGGTAACTTTTGTCGAGCCTGTTTTAGGCTACCCCCTCCTCCAAATATACTAATATCTCTTGACTGTACGAAAGATGTGCCGAGCAGGCACTTTCTTCACTGCTTTGTGTGTTGTGTATATGGGTACGCAGGGCATAGATTAACGGCCGGACATCGGACATTTTCCGGCCATTTTCGGCCACTGACTGGACGTTTTCAATTTCACCAGACATAGTGTCCGGTCAAAAAAGTTAAAAAAAGAGCAGCGACCTTTCGACCTTTTTATGCAGAGTTGGGCTTTCTTCGGAGCTTCGTGCCAAATGCGACTTGCATATCGTACAACTAACACGTACACCGTAGTCTCAGGCGTAGACTTCACTATTATTAACTTGATCCGCCTGTAGCAACTCGTTGTTGCTACAGTCAATTCACACTTTCGACCATTGGTGTCGACTTCGCACTTGAATCGATGGGTTGGACTGCTAGTGCAGTTCGCTCTTGAGAGGAAGATGTCATCTTTTATTTTTCACTCTTTCACTGTACTACTAAAAAAAAGAAGAAACACCCTGACAATGTGTTGTGGAAAATGTCCGGGCATGTCCGGACAGATTTCAAAACGGAAGGACATTTGTCCGAGCTAAATGAAATCCTTAAGCTATGCCATGGTACGTGTATCCAGCCATTCAACTGCAGTGCCAGTCTGGCTACCTGCCCTGCCTGCATTCCAGTGGCTGTATCCTGCCATCACAGTGCTGCGACGGTGTTTGGTACGACCGTGCTGATGGCTTTGAGCAGTACTGCCCAGGCAAGGTCACACCAGCTCCAGGTAAGCACCAGCAGCAGCACCACCAGCAGCAGCACTGATAGTAGTACCATGACTTCTATTACAAGCAAATGTAGAGCTACTATTGACCGCTATTCACTGCTGTATCTATTTTATTACTTTGCATGGCCATGTTGAGGCAGTCTTCGCATCAATTTCCTTTACACAATGCGGGTACTACAATGTATTCAAAACCAACGTCTGTGCCACGCACACATACGCAAACATTTTAGGGGTGAAACGAGTATATCGAATACTCGAGCGCTCGCTCGAAAATTCGAAAGGAGCGAGAGTACTTGTTTCGCAAAATACTCGAAGTATCCTATGTACAGTGTACTGTATGCATGTACATCACGCACTTCTGTTACTCTGACCAGTACTGATAACCCATTCAAGCGTGAAATTATTACTTGTCCCTACTTGCCAACAAAAGACAGTAGTTCAGACTATTTCCTACACTAGGCTGCATGCAAGGCTACATGTGTATCAGGTGTAGTACGTTCGGTGTTACGAGAGAGTGTGCAGTACATTGTTTTATGTTGTCAGTAAAATACTCGTACTCGCTCGAATACTCGCTCGTTTTTTCAAAGAGTACTAGAGTCCTCAATTTTGGCACTCGTTTCGCCCCTAGGCCAAACATGCATGCACTGAATGCCTGTGCTCTGTGCACTCTGTGCTTGTGCAGGTCAAACCGACTGCCAGGTCCTGTCACAACCGGCACTGGGCTCAATGACCGCGAACGGCTTGATGTTCAGCAACACGACCACGTTTGTGTGCACATCTCCCTATGTCCTTATGGACTCGGCCGTGCGTACTTGTGAAATCAACGGCCAGTGGAGCGGCGTGCAGCCAACTTGCGTCCGTAAGTACATGTACCAATGCTTGACTGGCTTGTATTATGCATTCCCGTTCATCCCACCGCTCATACTGTCAAAAGCTGCCTCTTCTCATTCACAATGGCATGGGTCAAAGTAGATGGGCCTGGTGCAGGTATTGCCAGTTCCTTGCTTGCTGTAGTACAGTATGACATTAACTTAGCTGGTAAGCAGTGCATGTGTGCATGGCAAGTGTTAATTTTGTCCATTGCTTCCCAACCCACACTGCCAATCCCATGTGCAGTGACGACTGCTGCTCTGAGTGCGGCCAGTGACGAGCTAGTCAAGGACTCCATCTCAGAACGCATGACACAAACGTGTAAGCCTAGTATTGCTGCATACTTAGAGTTTTGCCAGAATAATTTCCTTGGGGCAATTTCTCCTATTGCTGACTGCTGAAAATGTTGTGTTCAACTAGTCTCTTTGTTCTAAGAAGTCTGCCTCTTTCATCGATTCGTGTTTACCTAGCTGCGTTACGCTATTAGTAGCCTAATACCTGTTGTGCAATGGAGCTGGCCTAAAAGCTGCTCGCTCAACAGCGGTGTTGCATGGCATAGAGAGAGATGGCAAGCCGCCTCGGCATATTCGCGGATAGAGCTTTTAGTAGAAAGGAAAAGGACATATGGATACGAGTTAAGAGTAACTGCCCACCACTGTAACTAGATACTACTGTAAAAAAATGCAACAACTAGGCACAAAACTAGCTTGTGCTCATTTTTGTTGCGCTTACCTTCCCCTCTTTGGTCTCTCCTTTTAACCTTGAACCTTCGAAGTTGGAAGGCTGGACAGAGTGCTGAGACATTCGACGACCTGACTCCTAGCTTCAACACATCTCCGTAGCGCTACTTGAACCAAAAGCCTTCCAACTTGGAAGGTTCAAGGTTAAAAGGAGAGACCAAAGAGGGGAAGGTAAGCGCAACGAAAATGAGCACAAGCTAGTAGTTGAAGCTACAGTCCCACAGGAACAAGAAATGTTGATTGTTACTGGACGATGACGAAACCAGTATTACCTTCCCTCTTTTGTCTCTCCTTAACCTTGAACGTTCCGAGTTGGAAGGCTGTTGGTTAGCACTACGGAGATGTGTTGAAGCCAGGAGCCAGGTCGTCAAATGTTTTAGTGCCTAGTTGTTGCACTTTCTGACTGTATTTAGTATGTAGTGACAGTTACTTTACACTCGTATCCATACGTCCTTTTCCTTTCTACATTAATTTTATTATTGCCATATTGGCTCAACATCCGAGTTTCAAAGAGCTTTTAGTGGACGACTTAATCCATTTTCGGCAATACTTACAACGATCAAATCAGTCATATTGTAGATCAGGCTATGCTGTGGGTAAGTGTACTACTGGCCTTCTATGGCTTATTGTTTGCCAGCGAGTATTTAGCATCATCTACTAGTATTCACTCGCTTGACAGCCAAAGAGTATTTGTGTGGGAGGCTGGGAGTCTCGCACCTGACTTGGTCACGTTGCGCCTGAAGGTCACTAAGACGCGGCCATATACGGTGGAGCCGTCGCAGTTCCATCTACTGTCGACGAAACATGCCCGGTATTGGCTATTCTGGTACATGACAGCCCATGCCTGTAGCACTAAGCCTGTGTTCACTTTTGCCAAAGGGTCCACCTTACTCGGCCTTATTTAAATAAGATACTCTGTCACGCTCTCAACTGTTATCAGGTTAGCTCCCGCTCCATGCCCATTGTTGGAGCGACAGTCCTGGAATCCAGAGTTGCAAGTGAGGTGGTGATACGGCAAGCAGACGGTGGCAAAGTACGGCTTCAAAGCTCTACGTCTGGCAAGTGGCCGGCATACCACCCCAATGGACATCGGAACAGTACAAGTAGAGTAGCATCTCTACGTGACAGGGTATGAGCGCAAGTGAGTTCTTATGCTCTACTAATGTGCATTGATTCTGTGACTATAGTTGGTATACAGATCTCATCACATGAGCCGTAGGCGGGGTTTGCTATTGTCACTGGAAAATTCAGCCCTAACAAACAGTGTGATGGATGAATTTGACTCCAGGTATCTGCTTTTGGGAATACCATGTATGCATGTCTGGCATGCTGCTGCTATAATGTTGTGGCAGCAGCATTTTGGTGCGATGGACTGTTCTTGTAACGGTGTACCTACCCATTTGCTGTTGCCGGATGCCGTGTTTTGTTAGTTGTGCCTGTTTGTGCCAGGCCAGCTTGTGTTGGTGCATTCCCGTTAAGTTGCCAGGGGACCCGTTTTGCTGTTGTGGGGCTGTGTTTGTATCGGTGTGTTCCCGTTGAAGTTGACGGGGCACCACGTTAGTGGATTGTGCCTGTTTGAAGTTGCCAGGCCAATCCTGTAACGCACACCCGTTTGCTGATAATCGGGGACATGTTTGTCAATTTTGTTCGATTCACATGGCTGCGCTAGTTGCCTTGTGCGGATTAGATCGTTATCTGGCACTAGTCTTGATCTGTTTTATTCAGATTCAGATCAGCTATTGTTCCTATACGAGAATCTGTGGGTGCACATCCAATTCCTTTGCAGATTTGCGTGCTTCTCTGCAACGGGCGATTACATGGTACATGGTGTGTGGGCGTATGTGTGGTGTGTTCATGCTGTACAGGCCAGTATTGCCAAGCACTGGGGACCTTTGGCAATCTGAAGAATGTTTTGTCCGAGAATCGATCCTTGGATCTGTGGCGTTGCAGTTGTGGTGCTCCCGACCCTCTTGCGCGATGGCGAGACTTGGCGAAAAGGTTCCAGACATACGGCATCTCAATATCTTCCACCACGATCAGTACATCAGCACTACCATCGAGCGTAGCGACATCAGCAATAGAAGACGCACATGATATCATTCCCCCTTAGCGAAGACCCGGGAATACCTGAGAAGATGTTAGCCGCGACTTTACTGGAAAAGTCGTCGGTGACAACGGTACTCCATATTTTAGCTGCATGCAATAGGTCTCTCAACAAGTGTACCCAAAGTTTTCAAGCTAATACACAAGCAAATTCACTAGGATCCGAGTATATTTTCCTACACCTCTCCCTGTTTGTTGTTGTTATTTCTGCATTCAAATTGTTTGTGTACCTCTACATTTATTACAGTAGAGCCACGCATCCACGACTGTTGTTTCCAAGGGGTCGGGCTCGTCAGTTATACAAAACCTTTCAGCAATCTGGCCTTAGGCTTAGTTCCTTGACTTTCATCTTCTTCCATTTCTTTCTTGGCTGTAGATATGTTGTGCCTCTTTTTATGCTGCCATGTTGCCACTTGGGGTTATACACCCGGTTTTTTTCCTCATTCGTGCGTCCGTCGGCGCGAGGGTTTTTTCCCGGCTGGCTCGGTCCAGAGAAATTAATCTGACGGTCCCAAGTGGTGCTTGTCCTGGCTTATTTATGTTAGACGAATGAATGTACTAATTCCTTCCTCCTGGGGTCTGTCCCCCTGTTGTTGCTCCTAGTTTTCTTCTGCATTCCGGTTCACATCTGGCTGCGGCCTACTACCCTCACTCTGTGTGCTCCTGCCTCTGTTGTCTGGGTCCATGTCGTTATGCCGGTGTATGTGGAGCGAGAAGCAGAGACTGGAGTCAATTGACACTGCGTTTCTTTTTAAAACGTTATTGACTGTGGTGTTCCTAGAGGTATACACGTACATTCTTGGGTCCCACGTTCTGTGTTGCTCGACAGTATTCGTGGTGCATCAGCACTTTTTTAATTTTGTGCACTCATGAAAACCTGCCTGAGGCTGCAGAGTGTTGACTGTGTTTTGCTTAAAAAAAACCATCATGTCTCCCCAGATTTTCTAGTCTGGCCCTGAATTTTGCCCCTCTTCGGTTTCGAAACCTAGTGTGGTGGAAAGCCTAGCAGTGTTGTGTGTGCATGTGTGCGTTTTGTACAGTGCTGGCCAGAGAAATCCAACCTCGTTAATAAAGTAGCGCCGCGTTCGAGAGCACAGACCGGTCCAGTATGTATACTACTAGGGCTGCGTAGCGCCCGGCGCAATTTTATTCATAAGGTTGGATTTCTTTGGCCAGCACTGTAGTTAGAAGTAGGTCCTCTAAGTCCTCTGTTTGTGCGCACTTGTGGTCACATTGGCAGTAGTGGGTGAGGGGTAGACTCAGTTACTACGAAGATGGCGTATACATGATGGTGTATACAGTCATGTAGTTGAATTTTACTTCGGGCTTAGACCCAGAGGTTCTTGCAATGATGACCCCGGGTTTATGTACATGTATCATTCAGCTACCGTTGTCACAATGGCACAATGGCACTAGTTGACAGAACACCTGTACAAGTGCAGGCTGTTTATCTAGAATTTTCCAAAATAGCACTCCGTACTTTGAGGCTGCAGCCGTTTTGCATGCAACGTTGTATGTGTTGATCGGTTGACAGCATGTGACAAAGCCAAGGACACACTAGTGTATCAGGAGCACTGTTTTTTAACACAGTGCGTCCCCCGCCTTGTAACATGCTGTCAACCGATCAACATGTTAATTTATCAAACAAGGCTTACCTATACCAACATTATACATGTAGGGCTGTGCATGCTTTCAAAATTCTTCCTTGTTGAAGTAGAATATCGTGCTCGTGGGGGCTTTAGTAGTTCCTTTGCCAGATGTTCTATGCGTATCTCAATGACATCAGTTTGAGCACTCGGGCGAGGCACATTCGGGCCTACACATGTAGCCTTGAATTCTGGCTTGGAGGCATTATTTATCTATTTTCATGGCTGCTAGGTTCATCCTTAGTTGAGAGTTATTTCTCCGTGATTCGCTGATGAGTCCACAAAGGACGAAACAGCTAGACAGTACTAGTGCTGTCCCCAGATCGTGTATTATAAATCCATAATACTGACGCTCAATCTCCGGACAGCTGTTTCAAACTTTTTAGGTCTCATCAGTGGAGCTCAGAGCGGGAGGTTATTAAACATATGGCAATACGGTCTATATGAAATGAACAAAAAAAGCAATTTGAAAATGGCTCAAAGCATCAAAGTCAGCGAGCTATCTGCAAGACACGTACAAAGAGAGCTTTGCACGAAGGCAGATACATATTACATATACCTTTGACACTAACCAAAAAGAGTGCTCAATCAAGTCAACGCAAGGCAGCGTAATGCGGTGATTGAGTCTATAAAAAGCTATAGTGACATGTAGCCAGCCCCCCAGCACAATAAGCTGACTTGCATCATGCTAAAATCGTTCACACAAATCTCTTACAATAATTATTATATAGATTGCAGGATAGGGTGGTTGCACCAGGAAGTGCTGTCTCTGCGATAGTGGGACCAGCTAAGATTGCAGTACAGTCGTCCACCATCAATCCAGCACTTCATTGGCCAATGCCCTCGATACACCAGCATGATTTCCGGGATTACCATTCATCGACACATGTCCCCCCCCCCCCCCCCCTCCAGTTCTTCGGCACCTGACCCGAGTTCTATTTGGGCCGCACTACTTTGTAGCAGTCATACTATAGTACTAGAACTGGATGCACGTGATATCCACTGGAATTGACGCTGGCCATGAGCTGACCCACCGTCGTGCCTCCCAGTGTCAATTTTGCTTATGTGATCCTACCACAATCTGGAACATTATCAGTACTCGCCTCTGTTGACTTGCCAGCACTAGTTCTGGTGGATCCGGGCATGTTTCTGCCTTCTCTTCAGCATGTATTCTCCTGCAGGTGCATCTTTCACCTCCTTCTAATGCGTGAGCACATTTTCTGTGGAGATTCAACGACACATACACCAGAAAATACAGAACGGAACAGTGACTGCCAATGCAACACAAGTACCACATAGACCTAAAAACTCATAAGCACCCTGGGAGTTAGATGCATTTACGGGCAGTATGCCAGGATTTGCGCAGCTAATTTCAAATCAGATTAGCAATGCTGTGTGCTACCTAGGCGGCATCTTGGACTCAAAAACCAACCGATTGTGGTCCAACCCAACTGACAGCGTTGTTGGTGGGTTCCGATTGGCAGGTGTTGGATGGCCGTATGATCCATGCGTCCCCACAAGCAATGAGAAGTTAACAATGCCACTAAGGATATAATATCGCGGACAGCAGTACAATGAAACTGGGCCATTCGTTATCAGCAATATCAGGGGTATATCCCATCCGATAAGACGTACAGCTCGTGTGTGGCGGACTTTACAGCAGGTCCCGACATAGCTTGCCCGGTGCCCTTTACTACTCCTGGGCCAGAACTGTTGTACAATATTCAAGAGGGTCTAGCCTAGTGAGTGTGAGCAGAACCTGGCAAACCATATCTCCAAGTGATTCACATGTTGGTATATTCTCCGTTATCATACATCAATTCCGAACAATTTGACACCCGAATATTCTCGCACCACTACTGGTGAAGTATTGATCACAAACCATGTTCCATTTGACTTACAAAAGGAACTTGCAAAAGGCATGAGAGCACTGGAATCTGTAAAGACTCTCACATTATTAGCCACCATACATACCTTTCGGGAAGTCATGGCGTGTTGGAAGCAGAATGCTCGGAGAGCAGAGCTGAGTGAGATCTGCATACAGTAACACAGCGACAATGAATCACATGAACAGAAGGAAGCAGTCTTATCCGTACACATCTGAGTATGCGCTTATGGGAGGAAAATCCGTGCGACAAAAGAGGACCGTACTATGCAGGTGTATGTCGTACCCGGGTACGTACTAAGTGAGTTCCACCGTACGTATATAATTTTATTGCAATTGAATCACTTGACTGACTGGAGCCAAAAACATCAATTGGCACTTACTCCGGTTACCCGAATGTTTCGGTACCACTACCATTAGGTTTGTTGCAATCGAACCAAGTCATAGTTGTGTCATTTTCAATGCGTTAGGTGTTACCTGACGTGCTCAATGCATCAGCCGCTATGTCGGATTCCACCAGCCATGCACCAAACTAGGCGCAATGTGCACACTGATGATGGTAGTTGTCACACAACGAGCAGTAGTCAAAGTGAAAGGACTTATTGCATGAGATTTTGTTGTAATTTGTGCCCGTCAAATTGTCTCAGTGTAACTAGTTTATCGTTAGCTTACGAGTTTGTTGTTTGAATTTGCGTTCAGTTTATTTATTGTTTATTTGGCACAGATTTTCTGTGCTTTTGGTTGGTTGACGTCATGAGGCTACGCGGACTCGACTCAGTCGCGTATCCTTCTGCAGATCTGGCTACTTTTTCGGTTGCTTTTTGGATTCCTTAATTGATGCATGTAGATTAGTGTAGTACTTTTTTGGCTTCGTTTGCGCTGCTGTGGGTGCTTTGTAGGCGCACGTGTACGTGCACGTTCTGCTGATGAGAGCGTTTCGGCTTTCGCTGGTTGTTTCTTCGATATTTTCCTTTTCTGGGTACTAGTAGTTGTTGTTCCTTCCGTGATGGGCGGGTAGTTTTCTTTCTCTCTTGTTTTCACCTGTATCGTATATTTTCCTGCAATGTAAATACCACCAAACTGAGTTGTGTGAGCCTAGTCGGTTGGATCAAGTGTAGGCGATCACGCCAGGATAGATACGCTGTTTTGATCCAGTGGCGGTGACAGATAATGGCCACGAAGCCAAAGTTCGAGGAGAGATTGTCAGCCAGCTCGGGCTACAGACGACAAAAGCCAACGTCCCGCTGGATACCGCTGTTCTGGGGGCGAGAAGCTCCGTCTGGAGCATTATACATCAGCTGAACTATGCCACGCTGATGGTCAGTCATCAACGACCGTCAGAGTGTGAACGCTTCCGCGCATCATGCGTCCCGTCCCAGCCTTCGACTGGACAGAGGAACTGAAACGCTGGCCGCATCTCAGTGACGTCGTACCTGCAAGCAACGAGTCCAGAGTGGATCTATTGATTGGTCTTAATCCGGAACAACTGCACATTTCACTTGCCGAGCGATTCCGCAGTGAGGGAGGTCCAATTGCCAGGAAGATACAGTTGGGCTGGGTACTGTTCGGCGAAGGTCCGACTGACAGCGCATCAGAGATGGCGGAACAATCACTACTGGCTGTGAGTGACAGTACACTGATAAACACCGTCAACAAGTTCTGGGACCTCGAGAGCGTTGGCATGCAGGCCAGGAGCACATCATCCTACCTGACTCCAGATGAGCGTGAGGCTGACGCAATGACCGTGCAAAGTCTCCACCACAACGGCACACGGTTCGTTGTCGGCATCCCATGGCGAGGCGAAGGTAGCAAGCCAAACATTCAGCAGAGATCGGAACAGTACGCCAGGAAGCGACTCTGCTCGCTACACCGTCTGTTCCAGAAAAATCCTACTGTACAGCTGCGCTACTCAGAAGTGCTTCAGACCTACCTGAAGAAGGGCTACATTCACACAGTATCAACGTCCGCAGTTCAGGCTGCTGGTGTCGACCAGTGGATTCTGCCTCATTTCCCAGTAATCAGAGAAGACAGGCCACAACAAAAGTTCGCGTGGTGTTTGATGGCTCAGTCAAGGTGCACGGAGAGTGCATCAACAATCTCATGCACACCGGTCCGAAGTTGCAGAGTGCAGTGTTGCCACATCATTTTGGTCAAATATCAGTAGGGTGAAAAAATAAAATGCATCATCTGGGGGCTTTGCTCCAGACCCCCCCATAATAATAACCCCAGTATACACATGCACACAAAGCGCACTGTTAAAAATCACGGTTCTGCGTGAAACTCAGGTTGAGTTTTCAGATTTTTCCCGAGACAGAATAATGATTTCACTTCAAGTAGCACCTTATTAGGAGATGAGAGAGCAATGGAAACAAACATGATGACCAGTAAAAGCAAAAATCTGGATCATGACTTCTAATTTAGTTCTAAACGAAGCACAACGACAAAATGGGACATTTTCATGTCTGTCGGCAGGCCCTCGGAAAAGGTCAATTGTCGGCGGGTCGGGATATGCCTCCAAAATCAGCAGGCTACTGACATGTCGGCAGGTGTGGCAACACAGAGAGTGACTTCGTGAAAGTTTTATTCCGCTTCTGTCATCAGCCGATCGCACTCGCCGCAGATATCTCTGAGATGTTCTTACAAGTCGAGCTGTGCGAGACGGATTGCAAGTACCATCGGTTCATGTGGAGTGAGTCACCACAGGACCCAGTGGTGTTCTTTGAGTTCTGCCGGGTTGTATTCGGCATGCGTGCATCACCTTACCTCGCAGGAAGAGCACTGAAAGCAACGGCAGAGAAATTCAGTGGCGAGGCTGGCGCTGAGGTAGCAAAGGCCATTGATGACAACTTCTACGTGGACGACTTGCTGATGTCGCTACCGTCAGTACAATCTGCAATCGTCGCTCGGCGTGATCTTCAACAAGTTTCACAGCGTGGTGGTTTTCACTTGCGGAAGTGGATGAGCAATACGGAAGCGGTGTTGGATTCCATCCCACCGGAAGATCGAGCCAGCAACAAGATGATGACCAAAGCCAGCAGTGAACTGCCACCTCTTCCTCACAAGGCTCTTGGAGTCGCCTTGGAGCCAGATGATGACCAGTTCACATTCATCTATCCAGAACTGAGCAACGTCCAGTTCACACGGCGAGGAGTGCTCAGTCATATGTGCCGACCGTTTGATCCCAGAGGACAGCTGTGTCCATTCACCATCCGCAGTCGCGTTCTCTTCCAAACCACCTGCATCCGTGGAACAGACTGGGATAATCCTCTGGACAGTGGTCAAGCATCAGAGTGGAAGCAATGGATCTCAGAGTTCCCAAGTCTGAGAGATGTGAAGGCAAGCCGATGCTTCACCGAGATCAGTTCAGATCAGCCTCTGCACTCCACACTTTCACAGACGCGTCTGCATCAGCTTACGCCGCCGTGACGTACGCCCGACAAGAGCGTGATGACGGGACTGCAAAGGTGACATTAGCGCTCGCCAAGGCAAGACCAACACCTATCAAGCGCAAGACCACCCCATGCTGGAACTGCAAGGTGCAGTGCTAGGCACTCGGTTGAGCTGCTCAGTGGGTGAGGCACTTGATGTTCCTGTATCACGGCAGTACTTCTACACTGACTCGATGAATGTGTTGTACTGGGTAAGATCGCCCAGCAGGAAATTCAAGATCGAAGTCGGAAACCGCATCTCGGAGATCCAAGAGTTCAGTAATGTAAGTCAATGGTGTCACGTCAGCACCACACTCAACCCTGCTGATACGCCAAGTCGAGGTGTTGGTGCGACACAGCTGGCCGGTGATGCAACATGGTGGACAGGTCCAGCCTTCTTGTCCAAGCCCACCTCCACATGGCCCAGTAAGTACATTGTGCTACCAGCAGAGCTTCCAGGTCAATTGAAACGAGAGATCACGATGGTGGCCACTACGCAAGAGCTGCCCACAAGCCGTCTTCATCCAGACCATTTCTCCTTCTGGGATCACCTCGTACGGATAACCACATGGTGCCGACGATTCGTCAACAATGCTAGGCGACGCAGCACGCAAGCCGCCAGTCCTGAGATTGCGACCAAGTCCATAACTTTACCAACTGGGAGAAACGTCTCCGTGCCAGAGTTGACAGTGTCCGAGCTATGGAGTGCTAAGTGTGTATGGATCAGCTTGGCTCAGCGAGAGGTTTATGGCAGAACGTTTGCAGATGTCACAGGAGGCAAGGGCCTCTCAGCATCCTCACCGCTACAAAAGCTTCAACCAGTACTAGACGCAACTAGTGGCGCTGGTGTTCTAAAGGTTAATGGGAGACTTCGCACTGCACACCATCTACCAACCGGCATTCGGACACCAGTAATTTTACCGAGAAGTCACAGAACAACAAGGCTAATCATCGCAGCAGCCGACGCAAACGCCAATCATGCCGTCGGTACGAACCACCCCCTATCACTGCTCGCTGGTGAATACTGGGTAGTCAAAGGCAATGCAGCAGTCAAAGAGCACAGGAGCAAGTGCATTCTCTGTCGGAAGCACTACGTCAGGACGGCAACACCAGCAATGGCGCCGCTGGTCCTTTTTCTTTCTATAAATTTATCCTTGGCTCTCCATCCGAGTCCACTGGTGTGAGTGTATGTGTATACGCCCGATTGTGAGTGAGAGCGTGTACAGTATAGGCAGGGTTCTAGCCAGGAAACTTTCAGTGGGGGTGGGTCAACCCATTTCTCCATGTTCCCTTACTGCCTGGTTACACAAAATCCATCGTATGGGGGCAGTGAGCACCAGGAACGATTGATTTGTAGCCGCATTTTTGTTGTGTGAACTGAAAAAACCCCACAAAAGTCGAAAGATGAGTAAGGTGGCGTGATATCAGGGGAGGGGGGGGGGGCTGTCCCTGTAACATTCCCTGACATTCCCTGTAACTGCCCCCTCTTTCCCTGAATTATTCCTCACGGGCTGCCATGGCATACACAAGTACGAGACATAGGCTACACGTCACAGGTTGCCATGGCCCAGGCTAGTATATGCATACAATGCCTCGCGGGTCCTTATGGCCCAGGCTTGTACGCTGCATGGTATTATTTTGACCACCGGCCCACAGTTACGTCGCCCTCGCTGCCAGGTAAACATGGCTGCCTGTTGTGGAGTTTATGTTCCCCTGCTTTCTCTTTCTTTTCTTGTCTTCTTTTACTTTCTTTGCAGTGTGTATGTGACTTTTGAGTGTTTCCTATTTACAATTGGTAAACTAACTGAGTGAGCGTTTTGTGAGTGATTGCCTCCGGGGCCAGCTACTACATGACTGTTGTACATGCGGCTGCGCTTGTAGCTCTTCATTGTACATGCGGCTGCACATGTAGCTCTTTGTCGTACATGCTGCTGCATTTTTGTCTCTTTGTCGTATCTGCTGTTGCGTTTGTGTCTCTTTGTTGTACATGCTGCTGAAAAGGTGGTGCACGCTGCTGCGTTGTCTTTGAATGCTTTGTACATGAGGCTGCACCGTCTTCTGTCCCCTCCGTATGCACTCTTTCTCGTCTTGTCCCCGTTGTATGCGCATTTTCTTGTCCTGTCTACGTTGTACTCGTCTGGTTGCCGTCTTGTCTTTGTCGTATTTGGTCTTGTCTCCGTCGTATTTGATCGTCTGCCGTCTTTGTCTCCCTTCCCGTTCGGGACTGGCTTTATTACGCACAGGCACCAATTTCGCGTCCACCACCGCACTCTTCCTCACGTCTTCACAATATATTCCCTTGTCTTGTCTGGTCTCGGTGTCAGTTGTCTCGTCGTCTCCTCAGAGAAGGAACTAAATTATACTGTCTATAAAACAAACAAATTGGCATTTTGTTGTGTGGCGCGGTCGCTTTGAGGAGAATAGTTCGTCCCATAAGCTAGACATAGAAACGTCGCATCAAGTTGACGACATAAGCAACCGAATGTCGACTACAAATAAACAGGTGAACACGTGAATAGAGAAGGGCATTGGACAGCAATAAGGTCACTTCATAATGCACACACCTTTGAGATTATCGGGTTGTAGAACGTGCTGATGGTGGCACCATCTTTGACACCTGTGTCCACACGCACCTGTGCATAGACACGCAGCCCAAGCAAGTGGAAGCAGGCAACAATACATACAACTTCTGATGAGCGAAAGTGAGAAAACCGCAACTGAACACCCATGAGTGAAAAGAAACAAAGACTCAAACTGCGATGTCACCATGGGATGTTACGACTGTGCGGAGACCTGAGAATTGGTCGGTGCATACTTGTAATTTCTACATGAATTGTCCAATGAGCTCTCTGCGCATATCAGCAAAGCAGATATTGGACTCTATCACGATGATGCCGGGCCTCGCTATCCTAGAGAACACACCTGGTCCGGTCACATCCTGTCCGATAAAGTGACTCCATCAACAATAAATAGGAGCTTGTATCTAAGCGTTGTCATGAGAACTTCCATTCTCATAACTTTCCCGGCAAAATCATGTAAAAATAGCTTTATTCCTGAAGCTATGCAACCCATATTGCCTAGATCGTTAGGGGTATGCGAATATACGTGATCGATGCATGTCTGGAAAGTGCACAAGCGCAGACTACAGACACTGCGGGTCAGGGGCGTCTGACACGATACAGTCACTATGGCAGGGCGCGAAATAACGGTTGGACATGGGAAAATGTCCGACCGTTTACGGTCAGTTTCCGGATATTTTGTACACACCCGGACAAAGTGTCCGCGCACTTTTTTGCAAAGTACAAAAAAGAAAGGCACGTCAATCCTTTGTCTCATAGTACTAGTCATTAGTGATGTCGTCTGGCAAGAGTAAGCCAAGCACCGCTGATGCGGGTGCTCCTCTTGGAAAGAAGCCCAGAGGAGTCAAGACGACCACTTGTGACAAGTGGGTCGCCAAGTATGATAGGGAGCTTTCAACTTCTGTTTGGCTGAGCTATGAGCGCAGTCCCTCAGATCGTAGCGTTGTCGAAAATTTGAAGTGTAAGATGTGTTCCCGTTTAGTTGATAAAATTCGCAGCAGCAAGAATTTTTCTGACTCCTTCGTCGTTGGCTCAAGGAACCTGAAAACGTCAGCCTTCAAAGATCATGCTGCTTCTGAAATGCATCGCCGTGCCATGGCATTGTTTGGCAAGGAGCAGTCAAGCGGAAACCCAATAGAGTATGCGCCAATCGCTCGAGCCTTGTGCAAACTTGACGACGCAGCAGCAGCCAAAGCTTGCAGTGGTAAAACAGTAACAACAATTTTAATAATGCTCTTTTCACATCGTGATAACATTTCGATGGTATTAATTCTACACTGAACATTGTGTGATTTGATGTGAAAATTTGCATGTCCGGACATGTCCGGCCATTTTTGCAACTGGCAGGACATTGTATCAGACCTCATTTTATCCTTAGCGCATGCCCTGCTATGGTATTGACCGTACCACTTTTTGCCACAGGTACCCCGTGAATTCATAAAAACAGTCATCTGGGCTATAAATTTTCAATTTTTTTGGCTCAGCCACCCCTCCCACACAAGTAAATTGTACTTCAGATGGCTGGCCGTACCACACTAAAATACCTTCCGACGCCCCTGCTGCCGGTATTGAACAATTCTACTATTGAGTGCAAGTTGCATTGACTCGACCAGTACAATACCTGTAGTTATTGACCTGCAACAGTACTTTTTTATTGTCTTGCACTTACTTGCAGCTTCAACTGCCATTCCAGGAGTTAAACTAAATTACTGCAGTCTTCCTTCATACATACTAAGAGTATATAAATATATTCTTGTTTAAACTTTAAAAACATTCACTGGCTTGAGGGACCTATAAAAACAGTTAAAAAGAGTACTCGATAGCTCGCTCGTTAGCACAAAAATCCGTTCGCTACTGCTTTGTTTCTACCCTTCTGACTTATCACAAGACTGTAGGCACGGAGATGACCAATCACATTGCACCTAGCTGGGCCTACATTGTAGATGAGGCGATCAAAGCGTGCTAAAAGAAGTAGAACTCCATATTTAGTGGAGCGGGCTTTGATTTTCCCATCAAAGCACGCGGCCCAAACGGGCTTTGATTTTATGATCAAAGCCCGCTCCACCAGGGCTTTGATTTATCAAGCTCGGTTTTTTTTACTCGACTCGGGCTCGAGAAGGTTGAGAGTCGTGCTTTCAAGCGCGATAGTAAGATCGAAGTGCGTGTTCTCGTCAGAAATCGAATCAAAACAGTCGTGTTCATGTTCTATCAGCCAATCACAGCCCTTCGCGAAGTATTTCACAAGTTCGATACGAGTTTCAAGCGTGGGTGCATGTCAGAAATGTAATCAAAACACTCTTACTCGTGTTCGATCAGCCTACATCACAGCCCTTCACGCTTTGCGCGGCGGGCTGTGATTAGGCAATCTCACACTCGTACTCTTGCTTGATTCCATACAAAAGCAAACATCAGCACATAACACAACCGGACTTGAGTTTATCTGATGTTGAACTAACTTACAAGTTACAAAAAAACATGTAATCAAGGAATACAAAAGATCACAAGTTCAATAACTGCAGAACATACGCATACACTACGGCTGCCCAACCTGCCAGGCATTACCTACGTGTATCTAATGTGCGCACTGCACAGTATGCATTACTGAGTCTGTGGTATGTATTCACCACAGTTAGAGTAAGGGTTTCTAGTACTTTCTACTCTACTTTCTTCAAAGTATCCGATTACCGCCCCTTTCTCTGTGAGGCCTCGAATGAAGAACGACAGGAAAGACTTCAAAAGCAAATTCTGCGTGCCATAACAAACGAATCGAAAGAGAAGACGAATCCGTGAATGGAGTTTTATTTTGTTCTCCGTAAATTTCTCACAGCTTGCACAAAGCGCTCCATTCTGAATTTCCGACTTACGCTATGGCCAATTTGGTGTGGGTGAGCTCCCACACCCTGTTCTTGACCAGTCAGATAATGTGAGTCTGCGGGTCAATAAAACGCACGTAAAGTATACACGGATTTAACTCAATTATTTGCGACTAAACCTCCCTGATATGAAATTCAAGCCTGCTAAAATTCAACTCAGTTTCAACGCCTTGTTTGCAATGCTCAGATACACAAAGTTGGCATGGTGCGCATTCCTTGCCAGTTGACACTCAAATTCAGCTGTTTTGTCAGGTGCCGCCTACGGTATATAAAAAAAGCTGAAGAGATGAAACCCTTCTGTTGGCTCCCGATTTTCACGGTAGTACGGTTTCGCTCCCGTTCCCGGGCTCCATATTCGACGCTGTTGATCATACCGTACTGGCAATATATATGGTCGCAGTGAGGCCATGAAGCGTTACATTGGCACATGTTTACCGCACGCAGGGCGTTACATGCAAAGTCGCACAGGAGCCGTTACACAGGTTTCTATATTGCCGCAGTCCTTTTTTTGCCACGCGGTACACGTGCTTTCACAGTTTTCAGGCTTTGCAGTGCAAACTGCAATGAAAAGATCGCCGCACCCCGCCGGACGCGCGTCACGAACGCAACGAAAATTTGTCGCACTAGCCTGGTCGCGCGTTACGCCGCACCCCCCCCCCCCCCCCCCCCCCCCGCGTTACGCGGCAACATATATTGCCAGTACGGTATTCGATGCTGTTGATGTGTTTATTTTTATTTTTTTACGCTGAAGTGCACAGTTCAACAGAGAACGTAAAGAGAAAACATAACCAAGGGGAAGAACGGGGCAATGCAGAAGGGAGCCGGAGCAGCATGCTGATGAATTGAGCCTACCTCCCCCGACCATGGCTCGCAGGTTTAGCGGCAAGACCGAGCATCATCTACCCAAACAGAATACTATAGGAAATAAGTAGGCATGTGTGATATAGAGGAAGCAAAATGAGATGGTGAAATGGCTTCTATTTGGTAATAGAAAACGCGCAGCCGCTCTTCACCTCTTTCTTTTGTGAGTTTCTGGGAACAAATTATCTCTTAGTACTCTGGTATTGAGGATGTTCGGCACCCCTACTACTTGCAGCAATAAAAAATAACAAGCTAGTTACTGCTTACGATTTTTCCTACAACTTACCGCTTCTCAGTGCGCCCATACGAGTGTTTTCTCCTCATTCTCTGCATCCTTTACCCCAGGAGTCTCGTCCATCAGGCTCAAATGCTTGAGCACGAGCTCCGGATAGCGGAAAATAGCTCGTCGTCCATTAGCGGCTCTAATAGTACCTGGTCTGTCTAGCAACTGCAACCATGATCTTTTTCCAGGAGGGTAAAGCTTCGTCTATCAAACCAAACAATTGCCCTAAAAAATGGAAGAGGAAACAAGTGAGCGAGCTGGTCTGAGCGCGCTACTTTTCAAAAAATAGAAGCTGAAAGCCATCAAAGTCAAAGCATTCTAGTTCTGGCTAGCGCGTTTGTGTATGTCACGAGCGCTAGCGCGCTAGTCGCAGCAAACGCCCGCGCGCAGGCCGGAGTTAGCGCTATTCGTGCTGTTTGCCGCACGCGGCAGCTGGATGGATCACGTGACCCAAGCTGACGAATAAGGTCCGATGGTTCAGCTACATTGAGCCACAAGCATCACTGATCACTGATCAACTCTTTTTTAAAGTTTTTTTGCACCAAAGCAGAGCGCTCGTTTACTTCACTTGATCAAGTGCCAGAAAGTGAAATCGCGTCCCCCCCCCCCTCCCCCCGGCCCCCCGGCCTGTCGATCGAAGAGGGTTTTTCGTCGTGGCTGCTGGGTTGGCACTTACTTGGCACTGTACTGGTTCACTGAGCATGAGCACTGACGTCAGTGTCTGTGCAGCCTGGAAAAATGTTGTTGGCAGTCGACTAGTCCTGGATGATCCTTGTATACTGTATACTGTATAGTGTATAGCCTATACTAGGATCTACATGTAGGAGCCGGAGACTTGCGATTAGCATGCATAGCCGGCCTTGCTGCGAGGCTTTGTTTCCGTCGAATTTAGATTGCGGGTTTAGCATCTAAACTAGGGCTGAAACGATTATACCGAATAATCGAGTACTCGTTTGATAACTTAACGATCGAGCAATCGTTTAGATTACCGATTACGATTATTTTGCGTTTTTTAATTTGTGTCAAGAAAGTACTGATCTGCTTATCCGTATTATCCGTATTCACATGGCCTTTGCCATTCATTCAGTATATTAATGTCATCAATAATGATATTGTTTAGGAATGGGTTTGCTCCCACACTGGAGCTCGCGCTATTCCGCCGACGACTTGACACTTGACTGACTCACTGACTCACTGAAGTCGCAACCTCTATTTCGTATTAATAATGATATTCTTGTTTGTATTAGTTTATGTGACACCATTTTCTATTTTTCTTTGCCTGCCTGCCTGCTGGCGGCCTTTTTTCGCATGGTTCGGTGCAAGCGAATTTGGGCGAGCCCATTGACGCGGGAGCACAAATAATAATAATAATAATAAGTACTGTAAACCCTCGTTTTGTGAAGTTTGAATCAGTTTCCGCTGGGAGTATGCAGTTGCCAGGGGTACGGTTCATGTTCTGAGGTTAAATTGACTTCAAAACTGCCATGCTTCGGAGCTACCCTTTCACTAATGCAGATTTGTTGGTAATATGAAGGCATAGTTTGTGGAAACAGTAATGTTTGCACAGAATTATGACTCTATTTGCTAACGAATATAATCGAGTACTCGATCGTTAAGCTAAAGAGTAATCGATACATGAAAATCCACGATCGTTTCAGCCCTAATCTAAACCTCTCTGGTTTGTTATAATCTTTGGACTATAAGTCGCATGCGCTTGATATGACAAGGATTGCGGGGTGGAATCACGTTTCAAGCGGTGAAAATCAAGCGAGAGCGCGTTAAACCTTTCGCAGATTTTTTGAACTGTGGAATTAATCGTGGCTGTGTAGTATTCCTGACTGTCAGTGATCACACAGCCAAGTCTCTACCAGTAGTTACAGGAACATTCTAGCTAAGTGCTTCTCACGCGCAACCACTTAGGACTAGATAGCCCTGCTTGCAAGACCGGTACGGCCGCATGACCTATTGCGCTCATGCTGTACTAATACATTACATTGATTCCTGTATAGTCTGTTCCCCATCACTGACCCTCTTGATCCCTTGCGAGATTCTAGGCATCCAACAGCTTTCTTCCCCGAATCCATGTTATTGTTCAGCCCTAGCTCACACACATTCAAATGGCTTTTCCTTAGGTCTTTCAACAGTTGTCTTCCTAGTAATCTTTTGGACTCGCTCCCAGCTGCTCTCTCCCTCTGGCCTATATAAACACATCATTCTTTCTCATTGCTGTGTGGAATTATGAAGTGAAGAGTTTAAGCCCAAGAGCTTGTTTTCCTCCCGCTAGTGCTGTCAGCCTGTATCACTTTCTGTTGTAAGCCCAAAGTGCCTCAGACACGAGCAGGCTGGCAGACACTACAGCTGTTCCCATTTCAGTTCAATATGCAATGGTCTTTTCCTTTTCTACAAATCACGAACCCAAATCACCTGGTCACCACGCCAGCAGGCGACAACTTTCACAACAAGGTTCAACTCGAGTTCAACTCGAGTGACAGGACTGCACCCAAAAAAGGTCAAACAGGCTAGTAAGTTGTACCCTGCAGGCACGGTGACCAGGTGACTGGTGTACGCAGGAGCACGTGACCGCTTGTTCAACCATGTTCGATTGGGAATAAAGGAGGAACGCTGTATCGCAGCCTTTTCGGACCAAAACCAGTCGACTCAGTGTCCAAAAGACTACAACATATGGGCCAATCGCGGTCATCCGTGCTTTTATAAGAACGAAATGGCGCTTTTAGTGACATTTTGCATACAAATCCCCATCTAGTAGGGCGCAGTCACCCAGTTTCGGTGGAAGTGCGCGAGTTCGATTGGGAATAAAGGAGGAAGGGAGCGTCTCAGCTTCCTCGGACCAAGACCATTCGACTCAGCACCCCGAAGACTACAACTGGTTAAAATTTTGATTTTAGGGTATACTAGTACTTCCCCTTTAATCAATATGCAATGATGGTCTTTTCCTTTTCTACAAAAATTAATCACGTGCCTTCCTTGACGCAGAAGCCCTGTACTGTATATACAGAAGCCTTGCTTGGTAGTTTAAAGGGGAAGTTAAAGGGGAAGTATACCCTAAAATCAAATTTTCACCAGTTGTAGTCTTCGGGATGCTGGGTCGAATGGTCTTGGTCCGAGGAAGCTGAGACGCTCCCTTCCTACTTGTATCCCAATCGAACTCGCGCACTTCCACCGAAACTGGGTGACTGCGCCCTACTAGATGGGGATTTGTATGCAAAATGTCACTAAAAGCGCCATTTCGTTCTTTAAAAGCACGGATGACCGCGATTGGCCCATATGTTGTAGTCTTTTGGACGCTGAGTCGACTGGTTTTGGTCCGAAAAGGCTGCGATGCAGCGTTCCTCCTTCATTCCCAATCGAACATGGTTGAACAAGCGGTCACGTGCTCCTGCGTACACCAGTCACCTGGTCACCGTGCCTGCAGGGTACAACTTACTAGCCTTTTTGACCTTTTTTGGGTGCAGTCCTGTCACTCGAGTTGAACTCGAGTTGAACCTTGGTGTGAAAGTTGTCGCCTGCTGGCGCGGTGACCAGGTGATTTGGGCACCCAGGAGCATGTGACCGCTTGTTCAACCATGTTCTATTGGGAATAAAGGAGGAACGCTGCATCGCAGCCTTTTCGGACCAAAACCAGTCGACTCAGCGTCCAAAAGACTACAACATATGGGCCAATCGCGGTCATCCGTGCTTTTATAAGAACGAAATGGCGCTTTTAGTGACATTTTGCATACAAATCCCCATCTCGTAGGGCGCAGTCACCCAGTTTCGGTGGAAGTGCGCGAGTTCGATTGGGATTCAAGTAGGAAGGGAGCGTCGCAGCTTCCTCGGACCAAGACCATTCGACTCAGCACCCAGAAGACTACAACTGGTGAAATTTGATTTTAGGGTATACTTCCCCTTTAAAGGGGAAGTTTAAAGGGGAAGTTAACAAAAATTAAAATTTCACCAGTTGTAGTCTTCGGGGTGCTGAGTCGAATGGTCTTGGTCCGAGAAAGCTGGGACGCTCCCTTCCTACTTGAATCCCAATCGAACTCGCGCACTTCCACCGAAACTGGGTGACTGCGCCCTACTAGATGGGGATTTGTATGCAAAATGTCACTAAAAGCGCCATTTCGTTCTTATAAAAGCATGGATGACCGCGATTGGCCCATATGTTATAGTCCTTTGGACGCTGAGTCGATTGGTTTTGGTCCGAAAAGGCTGCGATGCAGCGTTCCTCCTTTATTCCCAATCGAACCTGGTTGAACAAGCGGTCACGTGCTCCTGCGTACGCCAGTCACCTGGTCACCGTGCCTGCAGGGTACAACTTACTAGCCTGTTTGACCTTTTTTGGGTGCAGTCCTGTCACTCGAGTTGAACCTTGGTGTGAAAGTTGTCGCCTGCTGGCGTGGTGACCAGGTGATTTGGGCACCCAGGAGCACGTGACCACTTGTTCAACCATGTTCGATTGGGAATAAAGGAGGAACGCTGCATCGCAGCCTTTTCGGACCAAAACCAGTCGACTCAGCGTCCAAAAGACTACAACATATGGGCCAATCGCGGTCATCCGTGCTTTTATAAGAACGAAATGGCGCTTTTAGTGACATTTTGCATACAAATCCCCATCTCGTAGGGCGCAGTCACCCAGTTTCGGTGGAAGTGCGCGAGTTCGATTGGGATTCAAGTAGGAAGGGAGCGTCTCAGCTTTCTCGGACCAAGACCATTCGACTCAGCACCCCGAAGACTACAACTGGTGAAATTTTAATTTTTGCCTTAACTTCCCCTTAAAGATTTTGACAGCATGTTACAAGGCGAGGACGCGTAGTGGTCCTGACTACAAAAGAACAAAAGAAAAAAGAAATATAAATTACAAATAATTTAATTACAGAGGAAGACAAGAAAATAACATCACAAATCCTTCCAGACGTGATCCCTGCAGCGGCAGCAACGTGAACTACGGCGGCAACACGACGACTTCTACAACACAAAAAACGAAAATTATAGAAATCCTACCAACCCGTAGTCGTAGAGTAACGAGGGTCCGAACCTGGGTTTTCCCAATACGGTTCAAATGGTCGCAAGACCGGGACTCTGCCAACCGGGTTATGGTTGTAGTCAGGAGCACTACGCGTCCTCGCCTTGTAACATGCTGTCAAAATCGAAAAGCCCTGTACTGTAGTGCATGGTAGTGTGGCTATA